TGTTCCTTCTGCCAGCACAAGTGGGACAGGCCAATCTAATTGGGGTGAGACGATTCCTGAGGTAATCTGGACCCATGCCATAAAGGGCTTTATAAATTAAATTGGACCAGGAAGCTAACTCACAGCAGGTGCAACTCATGTAACAGAAATGGGCCACTCTAGGGCCCCTCAGAACTGTCTGTGCAGCTGCATTCTGTAGCTTCCAAATAGCCTTCAGTGGTAGACCCATGTAGAATGCATTGCAGTAATCCAGATGAAAGATGACTAGAATCTTGAGTGATTGATAAAAAAATCGTTTTCTAATCTTAAGTATATTAATTCAACAAAAAAATCAAAGTCTGGTATTATTTTTGTGACTAGTAAATGTATTAAAAAGCATAAGCTTTTTGTGCTTTTTTATAAATGTGAGAAAATAACTTTTGGTTTTCTACTAATATAGATTAAAATGCCTTTCTTCCTTTAATGCCATTTATTCAGTAATTTATTTTTAATGTTTATAGGCAATTCAGAGGATGTTTATTATTCATACATTTGTTAATACAGTTCTGGAGAAATGAATGGGAGGTAAAGAGGTCAATATGATGCTGAATTTTATAACTCAGAGACTTTTGGGAATTGAGTGTATATAAATAATAGAATTAAACAAAAATGTGTTTTATCAGTATTTGAACTTTGTATTTACTGAGTGTGGGATGTAGCAACAAGTATAAATGATACCTAGGATTTAAAATCTTAGTCTTAAATATTTATTCTCTACAGCTTCTTTATTCACATAATGAAAGACTCACCAATATCATTCCATATGATCAAGATTTATTACATAGTATGTAAAATAGATGCTTAATATCTATGATTATGTTAGTTTGTATTTTTCTAGTTGTTTTCTTTCCTTTTCCTTTTTATTTTTTAATATTATAAAATATGTATACACAAACCCATAACATAATCTGAGAGAAACCAAAATTTCTTTATAGGCAGAACCATCAATCAATGGCACAACTTTAATTCCTCTTTAATTTTAGCGATCAATTGAATAGGACAGAAGTCTTTTAAATAATAATACAGGACTGTCGTGACCACTTCTCCAAACAATGAAGCAATTTTTGTGACATAAATATTGGTCATGACTTCAATGTGGTTCATTACGATATTTGGTTTTTATTTTAATATCCATATCTATTTCACCTTGCCTGCTCCCTGGGTAGCAATAAGAATAGGATATGGTAAGAGAGGAAGGAAGGAAGGAAGGAAGGAAGGAAGGAAGGAAGGAAGGAAGGAAGGAAGGAAGGAAGGAAGGAAGGAAGGAAGGAAGGAAGGAAGGAAGGAGAGGGACAGAGGGAGAAGAGGAAAGGGAAGGGACAATCTGGCTCTACCTATATTGAGTGCCTCGGTGAATGTTTTTCTCCTCTGGATAAAATCTGGCAAGGAGGAAATTGGTGAATTGGAGAGAGATTAATAAGAGGAGCTCTCCTGTTGCTAGTAGTGGAGGCGAGAGACTTTATCTAATTAGGTGTCTTAATGTGCTTTCATATGTGTGTGTGTGAGGATTGGTAAGTAGTAGTGTATGGAATTGAGTGTGAGGATTGAGTACTATGTTGGTGATCAGAAATATTGGAGCTAAAGACCTTCAGAGTGGCCAGCTTATCTCCATAGAGATGTATGATGAGACTAGGGTTTCTGGTCCTGGGTCTTGAGTGGAGCTTGATTTGGGGGATGAGGCTGTTATAGGTGGATAAATACGGGCCATAATATTATTGTAGTAATGTAGTAATTCCTTGCAATTCCTATAGTACACACCACAGATCGACAACCTGCGGCTCCAGAGCCGCATGCGGCTCTTTGAGTCTTTCCCTATGGCTCCCAGCCTCCTCTGCCATTTGCAGAGAGAGGCACTTGCTCTCTCTCTCTTTCTCTCTCTCTCTCTCTCTCTCTCTCTCTCTCTCTCTCTCTCTGTGTGTGTGTGTGTGTAAAAAAGAGTGGACTCAGGGTATTCTCCAACGAGCTGAAAAGCTTATTTGGGCGGAGCTCCTCCCTTTGCTGTGTCTCTGCAGGAAGCAAGAAGCAGGAAGCAGGAGAGAGCTTGGTAGCCCAGCTATGCTGACTCAGGAATTCTGGGAGTTGAAGTACATGAGTTATAAAAGAACTGAGGTTGCCTACCCGAGCTTGTTGGAGAACAGCTTGAAGCCAGCTTGCCAGGTGAGCAGAAGATTGGAGAAAGGGAGAGAGAGGGGGAGAGAGAGAAAAAGAGGGGGAGAGGAGAGAAAGAGGGAGAGGAAAGAGAGAGAGGGAAAGGAAAGAGAGAAAAAAAGAAAAAGAGAAAGAGGGAGAGAGAGGAAGAAGGGAAAGAGACAGAGAGAGACCCTTTTGACATCTAAAATGAAGATATTATAGGTGTGTGTATATATGTGTGTAGCTCTTTGGTTATTCGGGTTTTCTCCCACGTAAAATTGGAAGTGTCTTGGCGACGTTTTGACGAAGTCTCATTCGTCATCTTCAGGCTGGTGCTTTCGGCTTCGTGCTTCTAGAAGCAATGTGTGGTTGTAGCTGTTTCCTCCTTTTAACTGCCAGTGGGGGTATGAACTGATTGGATGAGAGCTTGGCTGTGTTCTGATTGGATGGAGGTGTGTTCTGATTGGTTAGGAGCTTGGCTGTGCGCTGATTGGCTGGCGGTTGGCTGTGCTCTGATTGGCTGGGGGGTTGGCTGTGCTCTGATTGGCTGGGAGTGTTCTGTTTGGGTGGGGGCTTTGTTGTGCTCAGGTTAGTCTGAGTTGGCGGGGGGTTTAAAATGGTGAGCTGCATTGCTAAGTTTTGGCTTCGCGTTCGTGGTCGTGCCTCATCTTCATGGTGGGTGTCAGTTTGCTTCATGTATGGATTGGAGGGGTTTAAAGTGGCTAATGATGCAGCTGTGGTCTGGCTTCTGGTTTGTGGTCATGCCTCATCATCGGTGTGGCTCTGGGTTTGCTTTTTGCATGGATGTGTGGTGGTGACATCCTGTGTGGTTTTTGTGAGTGTGGGTCTGGTGTCATTTTTTGTGTTAAGGAGTCGTTTGTCAATCAGGGCGGGTTTCCAAATGGCTGATAGGCGGGAGGTATCATCTCGTTTGTTCATGCTGTGTGGGCGTTTTTCTATCTCGATGGCTTCTCTGATTATTCTGTTATTAAAATGTTCAGTTTTGGTGATAGTTCTGGTCTTTTTAAAGTCAATTTCATGTCCTGTGATTTTTAGGTGTTGGACCAGGGAAGAAGTTGGTTCCTCTTTTTTGACTGAGTTCTTATGTTCTTCAATGCGTGCACTTATTCTTCTGTTGGTTTATCCGATGTATGTGGTGGGACAAGTGGTGCATGGGATTTCGTATACTCCTTGATTTTCTAATTCAATTTTATCTTTGGGGTTTCTTAGGATGGTGGATATTTTTCTGTTTGGGCAGAATGCTGTCTTAATGTTGTGTTTGTGGAGAATCTTACTGATTCTGTCTGTGGTGCCTTTTATGTAAGAGAGGAGGGCTTTGCCGTTTTTTTGTTCTCTGTCTTGGGTTTTAGTGGGGGTTTCTTTTTGGATTAGTTTGGTAATCTTATTTCGTTGGAATCCATTGGATGTAAATACATTAGTGAGAGTGCGTAGTTCGGTTTTTAGGTGTTGTTCATCAGCTAAGCGTTTTGTTCTAGAGATGAGTGTCTTGGCTACGGAGTTGATCTGTGCTGGGTGGTGGTGTGAGAGAGCATGCAGATAGCGGTTTGTGTGTGTTTTCTTCTGGTAGATGGTGTGTCCTAGGGAGCCATTGGATTTCTTGTAGACTAAGACATCTAGGAAGGGAAGTTGGTTATTAGCTTCTGTTTCCATGGTGAACTGTATTTTGGGCTGTAGGCTGTTGAGGTGTATGAGGAAGTTGTCCAGCTTTTCTTTCCCATGTGGCCAGATTATGAAGGTGTCATCTACGTATCTGAGTCGGAGTTTGGGTTTGTGTTCAGATTTTTCTAGAGCTTGGGTTTCAAAGTGTTCCATGTAGAGGTTTGCAATGACAGGTGAGAGGGGTGATCCCATGGGTGCTCCTTCTATTTGTTTGTATTTTTGTCCATTATAGATGAAATATGTGTTGTGTGTATATATATATATGTGTGTGTGTGTGTAAGTATGTATGTGTGTACACACACACACACACACACACACACACACACAATAAAGGTTAAAAAGGATATATGCAATGTTATCTTCATTTTAGATATCAAAAGAGTTTTGCGGCTCCCAGTGTTTTGTTTTCGGTGAGAAACGGGTCCAAGTGGCTCTTTGAGTATTTTGGATTGCCTACCCCTGGTACAGACAATACTATACATAGCGTTCTAGACTAAGGAAAAGTAGCGTAATTAAGTTTGTTTAAACTTTACACCACCAAACCAGTACCTTTTGGTAAACTCAAAATTTCTTACATAATTATTTCCTAATTGCTGCTAACACAATAGCACCACAGACCCTTAGACACTAACCCTTCATGATGAACTACATGGACTCAATATATGCTAGTCCAGGGGTAGGCAACCTTGGCTCTTTTATGACTCCTAGACTTCAACTCCCAGAATTCCTGAGCCAGCCATGCTGGCTCAGGAATTCTGGGAGTTGAAGTCCACAAGTCATAAAAGAGCCAAGGTTGCCTACCCCTGTGCTAGTCAAGCCAAATGGCTTTTGGAAAGATGGGGGGAAAAGCCAAATACCCAGTTTTAATATTTCAAAATAAAATCTATTGAAATCAATAGGATTTTCTTCCAAATAAAACTGTTTAGACCTATTTTACCTAAGTACAGGACTTTCATACATTTATAATGAAGGTGCATTTTTGAATCTTGATGTAGTAGAATATAAATAATTCCAAGACTGACTCCTATGTGTGGTATGCTGTTTTTCCTCAGAAACAGGGCACACTTTAATGTTATTTCAAATAAAATAACTTTGAGAACTGATAAAAGGAATAATATTATCGAAATAAACTGGATCCAGACTCCATCATGTTTTGAGTAAACCACTGGAAATCAATAGCACTTCATTTATTCATGATTTGCTCAGCTCATTACATTGATTTTAGTGGTTCTACCCCAGCACAATTAATTTCAGATCCAATCTAATTACTGAAATGTACATTCAGAACTTTGTTTGCTAATAAGATTGTGCAAATTCTCTTTCCTGAAGATACAAGAAACTTCAAAAGCAACATCTTTTACTTTTCAAACAGCCTTCAATAGAAATACAAGGTAGACTGGAAATGGATAGATGAATTCCATGTTTTTATGTTAAGTTTGCCCTTCCCATAAAAGATAACGGCTTAGATTTCAAGTCATTCTTCTTCTCTTATCCCTATACCATGAAGTATTGCATACATAATATTTAATTATAAAGTTATGTATTACATACCAAAGTTAATAAAATATTTAATAAAATATTTTATTTTTAGAAATTGTCACTGTTCAGTACATGTACAAATTTAAAATGTTTCCTATTTGTTTTTCCAAATCGATTGTTAAAAATACATTTTATAATTTCATTATGAATTATTTTATTTCCACAATGGAAAAAGTTTACTTTGTGTAAACTTTTAGTGTTCATCAGCAAACATGCATATATTGTATCTTCATTTTTATTTTGCCTGAAGAGCTGCTGGATGTGCTACCACCACTTTTCAAAGAAAATATTGCTCTGAACCACCCCAAGGTTTTCAAGCAGCTTGGAGATAGTTTCTATCATTGGAGGTGGTCCACAAATGTACCACAAAGTATTCTTGGAGATACATTTTTCTAGGTCACTTCCAGATAATCTTCCTTCTAGTAGAGAATACATAGAGTTAAGAAAACATTTATAAAGACATTTAATAGAACTATACTAATTTTTTGAAATGGGAGCTTCATAAATCATGCTGGCATAAGCATTTTCTCCTTGAATTGTTATAGCAGCCAGATCTTCCAGAAGGCATGAGTTTACATGGATCACACTTCTGCTAGGACGACTAATGAAGCAGTGGTGCATATGCATGCATTTAAAACAGTGGTTCTCAACCTGTGGGTCGGGACCCCATTTGGGGTTGAACGACCATTTCACAGGGGTTGCCAAACAAGGCTGTCCGCCATTTTCCCCCCTTTTCTTTGGCCATGCCCCTGGCACCCGGTAATGTATAAGTGGTTGGGGGTCACCACAACATGGGGAACTGTATTATGGGGTCGCGGCATTAGAAAGGTTGAGAACCACTGATTTAAAACAACCAGGGAGATTCTTTAGAGAAGCCATGCAAGAATTCCAGAGGAAGCTGATCCTTTAACATTTCAAAAGGTGCTTCAACCATGTCAAAATGCATGGATGTATCCCTTTCCAATGCTTACTTAGTATTTAATAATTTACAAACAGAAGGTAGGATGCTAGTGGGTCCTTTTCTGCTGCTATAGAAAATTTATAAGAATGTGTTTATAGTCCTTCATGTTTTAGCCAAACTCTAATTGCTGTTAATAATATAACATCAAATTAAACATTTGCAATAAACATTTTCTTTAATGAAGCTAGTATCAAGGAAATTGAATAAATCATTAAAAGAAATATCTGTAAAGGCTATCCATATATCTTAGTAAGAGTCAACAGCAAGCAAAAATATATTAACTGCATTTGAAAACTGTTAACTTTCTTAAACATGCCATCCTTGCTCCAATGCCCATCTGGGAATGAGTTTTGTTGTCCATACTAGGGCACATTTTTCAAAAAACATGCATAGCTTGCATAATTAATCCCTCCTCTCCACATTTTACAGTCCTCACTTTCCAACCATTTGTTCAGACTGTTTAAAGTTGACAACAGTGCTGACAAAAATTAACTTTATGGCCATTTACAACCTTTACAGTGCCCTACATGTTGTGCTGTGTCTGACCTGTTTTTTCTATGTTTCGGCCCTCAACTCTGAGAGGGAAGACAAAAAAAGCAAATGATTTCTATAGCTTATGTTTCCTTTAATAGAGGGGGGAAATTGGAGAGGAAAAGATTTCAAAGAGTAAACCATTTCCTCTCTCTGCATGCAATCATGCCAGTAGTGGGAAAGGGTCACGCAAAAAAAAAAAAAAAAAGACTGCCAATAAAAATGATCAATGATTTAGACCAGCAATAGATGAAGAACTCATCAAATTTGCAGGTAACACCAAAATGGCAGGAATAGGCAACACTCCAGAAAATAGGCTCAAGATACAGAAGACAAATTTGAACATTGGGCCTTATTTAACAAAATGAAATTTAATAGTTCTACATTTAAGTAAGAAAAACCAAATTCACAAGTATAGAATAGGTGGTACCTGACTTAATAACTGCAAGAGGAATATTGGAGTCCTAGTAGACAAATCACTTAAATATGAGTTTTGTTTATCACAGTATAAAAAAAATGTTGAAAGTCTAGAAAAGGTTCAGAGAAGAGCAACAAAGATGATTAGGGGACAGGAAGCTAAAACATAAGAAGAAAGGTTGCAGGAATTGGGTGTATCTAATATAATGAAAGAAGGATTAGAGCAGACATGTCAAACTTGTGATGTCATGTGACATTGCGCAACGTATCGGGACAGTTTTGCATTGCTGGCAATGGGGTGGGCGCAGCTTCCAGATGACGGGTCCGGTCCGCAGGCCGGCAGTTTAACACCTCTGGATTAGAGGGTGACATGGTAGTAGTGTTCCAATATCTAAGGGGCAGATCAACTAGCAATGGATGGAAAGTAATTAAGGAAAGAAGCAACCTAGAACTAAGAAGAAATTTCCTGACAGGTACAACCATTAATCAGTGGAACAACTTGCCTCCAGAAGTTGTGGCTGCTCAAACACTGAAGGTTTTTCAGAAGAGACTGGACAGTCATTTGTCTGAAATGGTATAGGGTTTTCTGCTTGAACAAGGGATTGGACTAGGTGACCTCCAAGGTCCCTTTCAACTGTTATTCTGTTATTTTTTGCCCTCTGGCAGAGTAGAAATATTAGAGAGGAATAAATTTTCAGAGAGTTAATCATGTGGTTTCCTACTTAGTGACCACTTGGTCTAGAGCAGACATGTCAAACTCACAATGTCACGTGACGTCGCGCAACATACCGGGACAGTTTTGCCATTGCCGGCAATTGGGTGGACACGGCTTCTGCATGAAGCGTCCAGCCTACAGGCCAGCAGTTTGACACCTCTGGCCTAAAGGCAAAGTTGCTGGTTTCAGTTAGGGTCATTAAGTGAGAACTACCTGCATGCTATATTTATTTTGGTCCTCAGAGTATTAAAACTTTAATTTGTCATACAATTTTTTTAATGCATCACAAAAATACACACCCTTGATGTAAGGCAAAAATTTCTCACAAATTGGTGAATTCTGCTTGGTAATGTGGAAACTGCATGTGATTTTTCCAGGAAATGCATTTGTCAAGCCAAGAATCTGTTTCTGGAATGTGCAAGATATTTAGTCATACCACAGTCAAATAAATCAAAGCAGATGTGTTGTTGTATGGTCCAGATTCTACAAATTTAAAGAACCGTATAAGAATACTGTACTTTGAGCACATATTTTAAGAAAAAGGCAGTATAAATAATTCCCCCTTTTCTTACATTAATATATTATTTCAAATTCACGCAACAATTCCTTATAGTGGAGCTCAGATATATCAATAAATTTTCAAGAAATAGTCACCTACTTTATAATCTAACCCTGTGTAGGTTTCTTCTTCTTACACAAAATATACTTTCAACTGTGGGTTCAGCAAAAGAAATACGAAGTAAAAATAGAACCCATGGAAGGAATATACTCCTTTTAAGTTCAGAAGAAAACAAGTGTCTTTTCAAACCCCTGTATACTGTTTCCAAAGGTCACTAAATGATTGTCAGAACAGCAGCACTTCCAGCTGACAGTATCTTGACTGGGCTGGACATCAGAGGCCTCCTGCAAATGTAGCTAGCTTGATTTGGGAATGAAAAGATTATACTACTGCTGCTCAGATTAGGTCAAGCAATAGAAAATACAACACGTGCTATTGACATTCTTCCCCTTACCTACTATTGCATAATGCTCAGTTTTACCAAGCTGCTTCAACAACTGGAGCAAGTCTGATATACAATAGAAACAACAGAGTGAGCAACTTGATATCCCAGACATCTTGTAGGCCTGAACCCCCTATTTTGTAATTCCCAATGCTCCCTCTGATCACAAGTTATTTTGAAGCAGGAAAGATAAGAAATATATAAAATCAAGAGCGTTAATCAAAATATTTTGGGATCTCTTAAGGAAGCAAAGTTGCATTTTTCAAAAACCTGATCAAACTTGTGAAGGCCAAGTAAAATGCTCCTCATTTTACCTGAAGCAGCTGAAGTACCACATAGTTTAATAATATATTAAAAATAAATGATTATAGTTGCTTCTTGCTTAATATGATTATTAATTTTAGTTGGGGGGGAGCACAAAGTTTGAAAACCTATAAGTGTTTAAGCCCTAAATTAGCTTTAAAAAGTCCATCTCTTACCAAAATAGAAAATTCTTTTCCTTCCTACGTTTATGACACAGCCCCACCTACTTTGCATCAACCTCCTACCCACTGCAGCTCCTGACTTCTCAAATAAAAAAAGGTTAAGTATGTCTTGTAGCTATTAAATCAAATAATGAAATAATATATAACAAAACCTACCCTGAACAGAAGTTCATGTACATTTTTTGCACAATAAAAGAGTTTGGTTATTCCCACTTTGCAACTATTTCCTTTCTTCTCTTGAATTCTGTGAAGGTCTGTGATGTGGAGCAGTATAGAAAATAAAGGATTAATGCCTACTCCACCTGCTATGAGCACAATGTTTGCTGGAAGGTCTTCAGGCTGAGGATCATAAAAGAAGTTGCCTCCAACTCGCAAAGCCACTTCTGAATTAAGAGCACACTACAGGGAAGAACAAAAAAAGGCAAATAACAACAATATCAAAGATGGACTTCAAACAAAATCAGACAGGGAAATTCTTTTAAGTGAAAAGCCATGTTAGTAGTGTTACATAGTTAACTGCAAATTAGTTAAGTCAAATTAGTGCAATCCACACATTCTTCAATCAAACGAATGTTACTTAACTGATATGAGTAATAACATATGGTTTCATTCTTCTTTGATACTATGAGATAGATTTAAAGCAAACCAAGTTTGCTTTAAGCTTATCTCATAGAACGGCATCTTCTCAAAAGATCTTGGGAATTTAAATTAGAATTATAGTTTAGTGTTTATTTTACAACAATATACACAGATTGAGGCAGTAATTATAGTTACACAATATGCAATACAGTTAGCAATCACAAAGATACATAATTTTTCCAGATAAATCACAATTCTGAAGAAAATATTTAAAAGCAATATTAAACTAAAATAGGTAATAGGTAATAAGGTATAATCCAGTTTTTCTCAATCAGCCATCCTCCAGTGTTAATAAAGAATTCAGTTCCAACCCATTTGAGCAGACACCAGCCTGGGGAAGAATCCAATGTAATGCGACAGAAAGTGTGTTTTCTTCTCCATCTCTCAGCACTTCAGGACACATGCTGGACTCAAGAAGGAGAGGGAACTGCCTACCTTGGTTCCACCAATGAAAGAGATTCTGTACCAAATGAGGATTGTTGGATGCCTCACATTTTTTTTAAATGTTTTGTATGCATATGTATATACCAGGGGTAGGCAACCTTGGCTCTTTTATGACTTGGACTTCGTGGACTTCAACTCCCAGAATTCCTGAGCCAGCATGACTCAGCTTGAAAACTCTCCCTTTCCCCTCAGCATGGCTGGCTCAGGAATTCTGGGAGTTGAAGTCCATGAGTCATAAAAGAGCCAAGGTTGCTTACCCCGGTATATACCCATGTATACATACATATGTGCACACATATATTTTGTGCATGTAGATGTATGAATGTGTATCTATCTGTACGTGTATAAACACACACACACACACACACACACACAAACACACACACAGTATATATTTTCTCCACCAAAAGACAAACAGTGACTAAATAAAGCTCACAAATGTATTACATATGAGAACTGAAATGATTTTATTACTGAAGGATAATTTAAAAGTATTTCTAAAGTAGTCAGACCATTGGAAATTTGAAATAAAACACTCCAGTGGTTTGACTAAGACCTAGTGAGTCCCCTTAAAGCACTTCCTCTGATACAAAGATAAATCCCAATTCCAGTATGGTATCTTCCCCTTTGTCCTTAATCTAACCATTCTAACAATTGTCCTTTTTGAGTGGATGCTAGTACTGAAATTGCAGGCTGAAAAAAAGAGGAATAAGCTAGCCCTAGAAACACTTTGCTCATGATAGTTAGAATCCAAGATATATTTTTCCATAAGCTGCAGAATCATGTCTATGTGCTCATCAAAATTATAATAGCTATAAAACAAATGTATATAGTAAAAATAGTTTGTTTTCTGATTATGGTTATCACCATTATTTCCCCCAAAGTCAAATATATTCCTATATTTATCTATCTCTATATTTCCTGACCATCTTAAGAAAAAAGCTGGACTATATTATAGAACTAATGTTAACTTCTTAACAGTTTCAAAATCCAATCCAATTTAGCACTATACTATCATTACAGTTTCAGATCACTTTTAAAAATTAAAATATCAAAAACAATAAAATCATAAAACAATAAAAACCCAATAAATTGCTTCAGTACAATTAGTCCTCAATTTACAACAGTTCATTTAATGACCAAAGTTACAATGGCACTGAGAAAAATGACTTATGACCATTTTTCAGTTACGACCTTTGCAGCATCCCCATGATCATGTGATCAAAATTCAGATGCTTAGGAACTGGTTCATATTTATTGCTGTGTTCCAAGATCATGTGATCACATTTCACAACCTTCTGACAAGCAAAGTTAGTGGAGAAGCCAGATGTACTTAAAACATTTTCTCCATATGAGAGCATCCAGACACTTGACATAAAAAAAACCCTTAATGATAGCTAGCAGTTCTAGCATTAGCTAATGCTTTTAACTGCTTTAATTACTGTGATACTACAAGTTTAATTTAAAATATTAAAGCAGGAAGAAAAGTCTTAGGAAATGCCTCTGAGGCAGATAATTATGAGGTTAGATTTTTGGAGTTCTCTAATGAACAACAGAGATGTGATAGAAAATCTCCACCAGGATTTGTCTAAGAATGTGTGGTACAGCCACACTGGTTCTATACATTTTCAGAATACCTTTCAAAGTCAATTATTTTATTGAAATTCCAATGGTGTGTGACAGTAACCTATTTAAGAACAGTAGGACTACTTTTTATGGTATATTGTAATGGATGGATTAGGAGCAACCTGGGAAATGAAGAGGGATAGAGAAAGGGAGAGAATTGCTCAAATGATAAGATTGCATTGATTTTACACCGATCCATTAGTCAACAAAAACAGAAGAAAAGCATATTGTTCATAACACATATAAAGGGGTGTCCCCTCCACGACGCTTATCTTTTACAAACTATCCTTTATAAACCATAGTTTGGTAGTGAAAATGTTTAAAGAGATAAACAATTCATCACCCCACTGGTTTTCAGTGAACACAGTTTTTCTAGAGCAAAAAGGTGGCATCTAAAAAATAAACCTATTTTATTTCATATAAACTTTCATGAGTTCCAGGCCAAGTCTTTAAATATATCTGATAAAGAGGATGTTATATATAGGAATTTATGTGATAACACTTGCATTCGTATTTCAGATATAATAAGACTGTTTGCTATTTGAGTATTCGTCAATGAGCCCACTATCTGACACCTTTGTGTTTTAGCAACATCACAAATATTAAGCTTAGGTTCAAAGATCTTCTTCTTTCTGGTATTACCTCACATTTGTTCATTTTTAGAATGGAAATGAGACTAATTTTGTATTAGTTAATTTCTGCCATTTAACTGTGCTTTTTGAAATATTCCACCTGCCACTATACTTATATAATTCAATAAGAGAAGACTTTTGTATAGGTGGACCATGTACTGGCAGAGATTTTATATTTGTAAGAAAGAAAAACAAGTAAATCCAAAACGATATACATTAATTAAACACAGATTATGCTAGCTAAAATTTTACATTTATACAGATTTAAAGTTTTATGAAGAGCGAGGGAAAGAGCAGCTTTTTGTCTTTTGTACACAGATCATTACATGTTTAAGTGTGATGACAGGTATGGCATTTAACAAGTCTAGCACAATACCAATGAAGAAGAAAAATAATAGCTCTCAAAAGAAACCAGCCTGGCTGCATAAAGAACTCTCTGATAAATTGAAAGACAAAAAGGACAAGTATAGAAAATGGAAAGAGGGGCACATAACTAAGGAAGCATATCAGCAGATAGCTCGAGCCTGCAAAGATGAAGGGAGGAAAGTTAAGGCTCAAAATGAACTAAGATTTGCGACAAAAGTTAAAAACAACAACAAAAACTTCTTTTAACATGTAAAAAACAAGAAAAAAATCAAGGAAATGATTGGTCCATTAGGGAGAGAAAGTGGCAAGAAGGTGTTAAGCAACAGGGAAAAAGCAGAACTACTTAACTCGTTTTTTTTGTGTCCATCTTTACACAAAGGGAAAAAATAGTCCAACCTATGAAAAACAGCACTGTAAAAAACAGATTAGAAAAACAAGTTAAAATAGGCATGAAAATGGTAAGTGAGCACCTGCTCATCCCTGACGATCATTAAACCCCAATGTTGTGAAGGAACTGGCATGATTTCAGAACCACCAAACTATATCTTTCAAAGATCCTGACGTACTGGGGAACTACCAGAGGACTGGAAAAGAGCTGATTTGTTTCCATCTTCAAAAAAAGGAAAAAAAATAGATCTAGGAAACTACAGACCTATCAGCCTGCTCAATATCTGGGAAGATTCTGGAAAAGATAATCAAGCAATGAATCAGTGAACACCTAGAGGCAAACAAAGTCATTACCAAAAGCCAACATGGGTTTGTCAAAAACAGATCATGCCAGACAAATCTTATTGTATTTTTTGACCAAGTGACAAAATTAGAGGACCAGAAGAAAGCTGTGGATATAATTTACTTGGATTTCAGTAAGGCATTTGATAAAGTAGATCACAACCTACTACTTGATAAGATAGAAAAATGTGGGTTAGATAGCATCACCACCAGATGGATTCGTAATTGGTTGACCAACCACACTCAATGTGTAGTCTTCAATGGAACTGCATCTACATGGAGGGAAGTGTGTAGTGGGTACCCCAAGGTCCTGTTTTAGGCCCAGTACTCTTCAACATCTTCATCAATGATATGGATGAGGGATAGATGGCGGTTGTGAGGCCCCTGCTCAAGAAGCCTACCCTGGACCCGGCTGATTTAAATAACTTCCGTCCAGTCTCCAATCTCCCCTTTGTGGGGAAGGTTGTAGAGAGAGTGGTGGCACTCCAGCTCCGACGGTCTCTGGATGAAGCGGATTATCTAGACCCTTTTCAATCTGGCTTCAGGCCCGGCTTCAGCACAGAAACCGCTTTGTTTCGCGCTGATGGATTATCTCTGGCGGGCCCGAGACAGAGGTTATTCCTCTGTCTTGGTGCTACTTGACCTCTCAGCGGCTTTCGATACCATCGATCATGGTATCCTTTTGCGACGACTCGAAGGGGTGGGAGTGGGAGGCACCATTTTACGATGGTTCTCCTCCTACCTCTCTGGCTGGTCGCAATCAGTATTGGTGGGAGGACAGAGGTCAACCCCGAGGCACCTTGAATGTGGCGTGCCACAAGGGTCGGTCCTCTCTCCCCTCCTATTTAACATTTATATGAAGCCGCTGGGTGAGATCATCAGACAGCACGGGGTGAGGTTTCATCAGTATGCTGATGATACCCAGTTATATATCTCCTCCCCGAGCTCTCTCAGTGAAGCGGCCGATGTGATGGGCCATTGCCTTGAAGCCGTGAGGGTCTGGATGGGGATTAACAGACTCAGGCTCAATCCTGACAAGACCGAGTGGCTTTGGATGTTGCCTCCCAAGGATCATGTCGATTGTCCAGTGTTGACTCTTACGGGGGAAAATATACCCCCTTTGGAGCGGGTTCGCAACTTGGGTGTCCTCCTTGATCCACAGCTGAATTTGGAACATCAATTGACGGCTGTGGCTGGGAGGACCTTTGCACAAGTTCACCTGTTGCACCAGTTGCGACCCTACCTGGACCCGGAGGCTCTCCTTACAGTCACTCATGCCCTTGTCACCTCACGTTTGGACTACTGCAACGTGCTCTACATGGGGCTACCCTTGAAAAGTATTCGGAGACTACAGTTGGTCCAGAATGCAGCCGCACGAGTGATAGTGGGTACTCCTCGATACACCCACGTTACACCTATCCTCCGTGAGCTGCACTGGTTGCCTATTGGTCTCCGGGTCCAATTCAAGGTGTTGGTCATTACCTTTAAAGCCCTATATGGCTCAGGGCCAGGCTATTTGCGAGACCGCCTACTACCTCATAGTTCCCTATGTCCGGTTAGATCCCACAGGCTGGGCCTCCTTCAGGCCCCGTCGGCCAGGCAGTGCCATTTGGCGGGGCCGCGGAGTAGGGCCTTCTCTGTGATGGCGCCCACGCTTTGGAATCAGCTCCCCCCGGAGATTAGGACTGCTCCCACCCTGTTGGTCTTCTGTAAGCTACTTAAGACCTGGCTTTTCCGGCAGGCCTGGGGTTTATAAAACCTAACCCCTGGATGATTGTCTTTGTACTGTTGTTTTGTTATGTTTTATGTGTTTTTTATTGTTAGCTGCCCAGAGTCCTTCGGGAGTGGGGCGGCTTATAAATTTTATTAAAAAATAAAATAAATAAAATAAAAAACTCATCAAATTTGCAGACAACACCAAGCTGGCAGGAATAGCCAACAATCCAAAAGATAGGCATAAGATACAGAAAGATCTTGATAAACTTAATTATTGGGTGCTATTTAATAAAATGAAATTTAATGGTGAAAAAAGTAAGGTTCTACATTTAGGCAAGAAAAAACAGAATAAGTGGTACCTCACTCAATAGTAGTAACTGTGAGAGAGATCTTGGATGCCAAAAAAAGCCAACATAGTTCTAGGCTACATTAACAGAGAGATAGAGTCAAGATCACATGAAGTGTTGATACTACTTTATAATGCGTTGGTAAGGCCACATTTGGAATACTGCATCCAGTTTTGGTCACCACAATGTAAAAAGATATTGAGACTCTAGGAAGAGTACACAGAAGAGCAACAAAGATGATTAGGGGACTGGAGGCTAAAACATATAAGGAACAGTTACTGGAATTGGGTATATCTATTTTAATAAAGAGAAGGACAAGGGGTGACATGATCCAATATCTCAGAGGTTGCCACAAAGAAGAGGGAGTCAAGCTATTCTCCAAAGCACCTTAAGGCAGGACAAGAAGCAAATGATGGAAACTAATCAAAGAGAGAAACAACCTAAAACTAAGGAGAAATTTCCTGACTGTTAGAACAATTAACCAGTGGAACGCCTCCAGAAGCTGTGAATGCTCCAACACTGAAAGTTTTTAAAGACGAGATTGGATAACCATTTGTCTGAAATGGTCTTGGGTTTGTTGCCTGAGCAGGGGATTGGAATAAAAGACCTCCATGGTCCCTTCCAACTCTTTTATTTTTTTTATTTATTTGTATTGTATTGTAAATAATTTAATACACATTAAACTGTACTCTAGTGTTAAATTTATGTCTTATAGTACAGGTAAAAGGATAAGACAATTCAAAGTAATAATAATGCTGGATTATATATAAAACAAGATGTAAAAATAAATTTAAAGAACACTAAAAACAAAATTATTAGGAGCTTTTAGTATAGATACCTGAGTATGAATCCAGTGAGCAGGTGGGTGTGATGTATGTTTTACTGCAAGTTCTAATATTCCCTCTTCTTCCAACATACCAGGACTCGAACATATTGAGAATCCACCAACAACAGGAACTCCAGGTATAAAGAAGTCTACCCTAAAATAAAATAGCTTTCCTTTTAATTTCTTCTATGCAATGTCTTGGAACAGGTTTCTTTTTTACTATTTAAAACTTCTGACAAGATTATTCAAATGTGTACAGTTTGGCAAAGTTCACGGAAAATCACATAGAAGATATTTAGCTTGTAAAGCAACAATGGGTAAAATACCATTAAAGACCAGCAGGACAGATCAAATGTTAGTATTATTTTCAGATTTACAAATATGAATCATAGTCGCATAATAGGTTCTTTCCTCTTTGTATTCATTCAGGTAGTTCTCGACTTATAATCACAACTAAGCCTGGAATCTCGGTTGTTGAGCAAAGTGGTTGTTAAGCAAGTTGTCACATGACTGCCCATGCAACTGCTTTGTTCAATGGCCCAATCTAAGCCCTTCTGATTGCGGTTATTAAACAAATACATGGATTCATTTACTATACACATATCTCTGTTTTTAATCAATGCAATCAAAGCAGTTTACAATTTTTAACATAAAAGTACATAGCCTTATAAATGACATAAAAAAGGAAAACAAAATGAGACAAAAGAAAAATAAAATTTATGTTCTAAACATAAAATTGTAATTGATCCAGATAGAGTCATAATGGCAAATATATATGGTTAAAAGATTATTTTATCAGCAGTGCCACAAAACCTGTACTGATGGCATATTCTTAAAATGTAAAGTTTCATTTCAAGAATATTATATTACCATCCAATTTATTTCTATCTGAATCATTTTACAAATGAATAATTTCCATGTTATCAGAGATATGTTTGTCTGGCATTTTCAAAAGTTCAGTTGTAATTTTGTCAATACTGCTACAATTTAATCCAATTTTTAATCCAGCTTTTAAAAATAATACTTAACAAAAAGTACTTTAAAGTATGTGCAATTATTTATTTGTATTTTATTTATATAAACACATTTATAACCCTTGTAAATTAATCCATGTATTGTAGTGCCCTCTAGTGAGGAATTATTCTGCCTGTTAAATGTTGTAAAACCGAATTATGAACATATATGAAAGTTCAAATTTAGTGCAAAGTGAACTCAAGGTTTAGTCTGTCTTCTTTTATAACCCAATTAAAAACCAGCCACCATGACAGCATTTATCTGGACCTCATACCATTTACCTTAGAATATTATTACTGTTTCTTTTATTATTTGAAACCTTGTGGAACCTAATGCAAACTACAATTAAAACAGATTTATTTACAGAACACATCACTATAATGCTACTGGCACTCAGAAGAATCAGTAGAAAAAAAGACTACACAGGATATGTTTAACGGTTTATAAATACAGATTATAACGCTGTATAATCATTAAACCACTAAAATAAAAAATGAATTTTCAATCTGAAAAATGCAGTATATTGGATAATGTAATAGAAAAATATATTTATTAATCATTAATGCAGCCTAGGATAAGAAAGTAAAGCCCATTTAAAATATTATTGTGGCCTGATGTTCGTTCATTCATTCATTCGTTCGTTCATTCATTCATTCAATTTAATGGCCACCCATTTTACTGATTGATTGATTGATTAACTGATACAATTTACTGGCCGCCCATCTTACCATAGGGTAACTCTGGGAGACTTACAGTTATATCTAAATTAAAACATAAAAAGTTAAAATTGAATGACAAAAAACATGTTCTTGAAGATTTTCCAGGAAGGCAGAATTTTATGAGAGTCTTATTCTGTGCGTCAAGTCATAAGTTCTACATGTCCACAGGGATAAGAGTAAAATCAGTGCAACATAGTAATAAAAATACAGTTCTCCGTGAAATAAAACAACTTGGAGATAAAATTATTAGAATCTGATTTTTTTAAGAAAAGTAGATAAGAGGATCTTTTGATAGATCTTTGACCTCAATGAAGTACACAAGTAAGGACAATCACAGAAGGGATCACCAGAACTTTGAGCTGATTAGCTACATGAAAAAAGTTCTTGGGTTCCCACGTTCTGCGTATCTTTTGCAATTGCCTACAGTAAACGGCTTTTGGGTTCTAAAAAAAAAGAGCAAAATAAATCTAACAAGACTGACATTTGCTCTCCCCCACTTTAGACTGTTTGCAGAAAGTGTTTCACTAATTACAGATACCAACAACAGCTTATAATATATTCTGTACAGAAAGCTATAGGTATTTATAAAACTAAATGCACATAAATGTTATTTATATGCATTTATTCATAATTAAGCAGAACAAATGTGCTATATAAAACAGGCTATCAAGAGAGGCTGAACAGAAACCTGATTAGAGAAGAAATAGGTTCTATATATAATATATGCTAGAATACTTTCTAAGCCCTCCAAAGATCTTTTCCATTTAAATGTTTCCCCAAAAAAATACTTGTTGGGAGGAGACAGCTTCCCCCGTCCCCTTGGTCATGGATTTTTGCCTCTGTTGAACTGAATTTGCATGCAAAACTGCAACTCCGGGAGCAATCCTCATGTGTTGGACTCATCATATCTAAATATTAACAGCCAAGGTGTACCAATTAAGATATTAGACTCTACTCCACTCTCTACCAGAGCAATTCATTTAATGTCTTTGGACCAGTCACTCACTCTCAATCCAATTACCTCACAGGATTGTTGTAAGGAAAATAGGAAGGAGTCATATATTATCTGAGCTTCCAAGTGAAAGGCAGGGTATAAATAAAAGACAACACTTTTATTTTCCTACATGGTGTCCTACCTCATTGTGGAGTTCAACAGACACTGTCTAATTTCTAAATGTCAAAGTCAATGTCATAACCCAAAGTCAAAATCATCTACATAACCCTATCCATTCAATATTATTTGCATAAGTATGGATGAAATTTAATATTCATTTATTAAGCATAAACTGCACTGATAAGTAGTATTTTTAAATAAATGAAAGATAGTGTTTCCAAGTGACTACAGATCAGGCTTTTCTTAATTTTGGTATTATACATGCCTTATATTTGTCTATTTCATTTTAACTATTTTTTAGTTGTAAATACAGAAATATTTGAAAAAATGTTCATATAAATGAAAATTCAACTTGCATAATATATAATTTTAATTTTAAATAAAAAAGCAACAGTAATTTTTAGTAAACATATAAACAAAGAACAAGTAATCAGGCAGAAATGTAACCTTTACAGCAGTGGTTCTCAACCTGTGGGTCACAACCCCATTTGGGGTCGAACGACCATTTCACAGGGGTCGCCAAACAACGCAGTCCGCCATTTTTTTCCCCTTTTCCTTAGCTGTGCTACTCCCTTTTATTCTATTGGCTTTTGAAAGTCAATAGGAATTGTCCAGGCTGTCTCTGTCCTGCTGAGCCTGTCAAAAGTCCCATTCTGCAAACAGTGCTGCACCAGTTGAGTAGTCCTCGACTTATGATCGGCTGAGTAGTCCTCAACTTACGACCGGTTGGGGGTCGCGGCATTAAAAAGGTTGAGAACCACTGTTTTACAGTATCACAGATTACTGCTGAACACACTAGAATTTTCAACAGTATAATAGGTACTGTGATGAAATTTCAACAAAGCATCAATTTGCGAAGTCAAAAATTTCAGAAAGTAAGTGTAACCCTAACTATGTAGCTCCTCTGTGTGACAGAAATATTCATTGAGGAAAAAAAATGTATATGTTTGAAAGAATAAAAGACTTTCAGCCATTTCATCGCAAATGTAAATTTATTAACCTTTTCCTGCCACTTCTATTTTTCGGTACTATTCATTCGATCATAAGCAATCTTACTAGCTGCACTGGTGGAATGTTAGCATGCCAAACAGAATTAGAATAATTTAAAAGGAAGATAATGAAAAGAGTAATTATAATTAAAGAACCCAGTTTTCAGTATGATGATTACCAAAACATTTTTGAAGGGTAAATGTTTGCTTAAGAACCAACACGCACAAATTTAGTATGCATCTGTGCACATGTGCAAAGGGTGCTGCAAATTGCTCTACAAACATGAATTATTGCAATCAACATCTTGTTTTCTTGTTCTAAATGCAAAAGACTGCAAAATTAACACTACTAGTAACGCATGCTATTAACATCCTACAGAAGATGTACTTGCCAGATAGATTGATAATAGAAAGTAAAAGCAAAAATATGAACAAGAAAACAGTGTCCAGACTGAAAAATATAGTATCCAATTTGATATAAAAATGTACCTGAATTTTTGAGAGAAAACATTCAGATCTTGAAAATGTTCATATGATTAAATAACAAATTGTAATTTCCAAGAAAAAATACTGTCATTCTATTTTTCAAAGATTATATCATTATTCTGTATTTTACAAGGCAGTATATATGGAGCCTTGTTGTTGTTGTTAATTGCAAAGTCGTGTCCGACCCATCGCGACCCCATGGACAATGTTCCTCCAGGTCTTCCTGTCCTCTGCCATCTTCTGGAGTCCATTTAAGTTCACACCTACTGCTTCAGTGACTCCATCCAGCCATCTCATTCTCTGTTGTCCCCTTCTTCTATTGCCCTCAATCTTTCCCAGCATTAGGCTCTTCTCCAGTGAGTCCTTCTTTCTCATTAGGTGGCCAAAGTATTTGAGTTTCAACTTCAGGATCTGGCCTTCTAAAGAGCAGTCGGGGTTGATCTCTTCTAGGACTGACCAGTTTGAACGCCTTGCAATATGGAGCTTATCATGATTTTATCCTCACAGAAACCCTGTGATGTAGCTTAAGTTGAGCAACAATGAGTGGCCAAAGTCACCAGTAAATTCCATGGCTAAACCTTCTCTCCTTGTTTCTAATCAATATCCTATCCAGGTAAGATACCAAGTAATTCATTTTAGAGAGCTTCTTCTAAAAACGGAAGAGCATATTTATTTCCTTCCTTCCATCTGATATACTAAAAATACCACTGAATTTAATCCAATGATTAGGTTACAGAGGAACAAAATAAAAGTAGTACTACTGACTTTTTCTTTCTCAAATAGTAAATAGCCTTGCATCTTCTCAAATGAGATTTCTTATCTACATACTGTTGTTTCTCAATGATATTCACTTACATAGTCATATGACTTTTGACCTTTTGTGTTAGTGCAAATAAAACAGAAAGCTCTCTTTAGAGTAGAGTAGGCTTAAGAAATTTTTATGTAGAACCATTTCAAAAGAGATACAAGGCTAAACAAGGTATGAGGAAATTGCTGCAATCGCAATATATTCTATTTGCAAATTAGTTTATTCAAAGGTGACAAAATTAAACATTTGCATATGCCTGTAATAAACATTAATAATTTGATGTCAATAAAAATTGATAATTTAGGTATAAATATACCATCAATTTAGAATTTCATTAACTTCTTTTTCTATTTAATATATACAGATCTAAGGATCTTACCATTGTCCTGCCTTAAAAGTAAATTCCTTATCTGTTACTGCCAAACGGAGTCTTTTAACTGTTTCAGATTCATTGCTGATGCCACACACTTTTGCTTTAGAAATAATCTAAAAAGACAAAAACCATCATCATAACTACCATCACTATTTTAGGAAATAAACACAACAGAACAAAATATAATTGTTTCTGGATCCTCCCAAGCATGAAACACCAATTGTGAATTGGAATAACTATGATTTCTAATGGCTTCTTACAGTGCTACGATTATTATTAGATGCAACTTTCTCACATTTATAGAAATTTTAAGTTCTAATCTCACTGCAGATTAAGAATTCAAAAACAAGCAAAGACTAGGCTTGTTCATTCATTCATACATTTTTTTATGAACACCCCCTCACATATGATACAACTTACAAAAGATTAAACCACACCTTCCTTACCTTTGGCTTTAGCATTTTTAGTCCAGAAATTCATCTATAAATTTCAAGATCCTTATATTAATTCATTCTTTTATAGCAAAATTAGATATTTGTGGCTTATATAAAGCCGCAGTTCCATTTTGTTGTGCTTTTAACAGAAATACAATATGGACATTTAACCTCAAATTAGCTTAATACACCTATTTTTTTAACTAAAAAAAAAGAGGTCGAACATTCTGGTCCAGAGACTCATAGCCCCATTTCTGGCATGCCTTTTGCAGCTCTCAGATTAAAAACACAAAGTTTAAAATGCAGCTCTTTCTGAAAAAAGCTGCTTCTTTCCTGTATTCTCTGGGAGGAAAATAATAAAATCATTATTGAATAAAAAGCATAATTCTAAATAACCACAGACAAAATATTAAAGCAAAATAAATTCCTATTTTTATTATGTTTTATTAGATATTTACTACACTGTTTTCTCTGGGACCATCCTCTGTCTCTTTCCCCCTCCCAATTTTTCTGATAGCAGTATTACAAAGCAGACTGCATGACTCAAGACCAGCTACAAGTTTATGGATGGATGGGACTTGAACACAGATTATTTGGAATGTAACCAACAATAGCTTTTATATAACTTCTAATCAATCCAGTGATAACATTTTGTTTTCTTACTTTCCGCTGTGTTTCCTCTAAATTTCATAGTGTGGCAATCAGCTCATAAAATATAATTTGGAATTGTTTGTTAAGCTACAGAACATATTAATAAGCTTAAACCTAAAGTTCTTAAGATGAGTCAACCAAGTCCAAAAGCACAGAAAATGTTAAAATGATAAACTACATCAAACTACAATCATGAGTATTTCATTTCCCAGCCAGAAACACTAGAGTCCAACAAATGAAATTTGGCCAGCTATGTCTTAATTTAAAACATATGGCAGGAACAATTTCTGCATAAAAATAGTTGAGTATTTCTACTTTCTTGTAAAACAACAGGATACTTGCCAAGTAAACATTATCATACTTTTTACTTATTTTAAGACTTATTTTTTTAAGAAACAGTTATATTTCTTAATTAGACTTGCTCTCATGATGCTCATAATATTCTCCTTAACACAGAAACCCCAGAGTAAGAATAAGTCTAACATTAATATATCACATTATTTTATAACTGACTTCTGAACTGGATCTTGCACACAATAACAAAAAAGTGATGTCCCTTTAGTTTTTAAATAATCCCCAAAATGTTTATTTGTTTGATTTATATTGTTGCCTATATTGGCAAAGTGACTCTGAATGTCAGAAAATATTTTTGTTCCCACAGTTTCCAAGAATTGGAAATGTATAACCCAATGCAGCTCAGCTATTTCCATTAATTTATTTTGCCAGTGATAGCAGCTAAACAAATGTGAAAAGTGCTTTGCTTACTGTTATGAACAAAGTGAGAACCATACCAAAGTACTCTCCTGACAATGTCAGGAGTATCATATACTATAAGAGAAACCATCAAGAGTTACCACTCTAAATATAACCCTTAGTGAACCACAGTTATCCAAATGTACTTCTTTACTCCCATTGACAGGTGAAGCCAAGTAGAACAAACTTGAGTATCAGAATACCAGAACACCGTTCATTCATAAATTGTACTGTAAATATTAAAGCAGGACCAAAATCATAAGAAATATTATTCTTCAAATTTTGCTACTCAGTGTCTCATATTGGGGAGGCAAAATATGCATCGTAAGCCAGAATACTCATTCACACACCCAATTAGTATGGTCAGAGTTTAAAACTTTGTGTGGCGTGGAGCCAGGTTACTTGCAAGACCACTTTCCCTAAGAGTTTCTACTTATCCCATCAGCTCTGTCAGAGTGGGCATGCTCCACTTTCCCTGAGTGAAGCAATGTCACTAGATGAGTCTTAGGTAATGTACCTTTGTCATGGCATTTGGGTTATAAAAGAGCTGCAACACCCACCAACCCTCGCCAAAGCTATAGATGACCCCAACCTCACCAGTACTTCAGAAGAATCAAGTTGTTAGCTCTAGAGTCCTAGCATGGGTGTAAGGTGAGGATGTCCTTTGAGATTTTCAACAAGAAGAGCTCAACTTGTTGTTTTACAATTGTCAGTGTTTTACTGTATATGTTTGCCATTCAGATTGTTAATAGAAGGCGGCCTAATAAATTTGATAAATAAATACAAAGTGAAACAGTCATTACTGTTACATCTGTATCATCTGGAAATAATAATTTTCTCAGTTCTTTCTTTTTTTCTAGCTACATTTATTATTTCAGTGGCACTTATTTTCTAAACCGACTCTAGAAGATTCACAACAATCCATAAAATATGGCCAAAAATATATTCTTCCCCCAAATGCCAAACCAAACAACCTTAAACTTCATCTCCATCTTATTCCAATGCTTGGGGCAAAAGCCAGGTCTTCACAGACCTTTGAAAGACTAAAAGGGTAAGGATACCTTTGATCTCCACTGGGAGATTGTTCAGAGGACTGGGATGGCCATGAAGAATACACAATCTAAGTTCCCATCAGATAGCAACAATTAATGGAGGGGGCGTGGAATGCACTCACCCTAATCTAATAGGATAGGCAAATGCACACAGAGAGATGTGATCCTACAGTAACCTGGCTTAAAGGTGATTAGCAGCACCCTGAATTATACCCGGAAAGCAACTGAAGGGGCGTTGTCTTACCTAAACACCTTTTCTCAGTACGAAGATGGAGAATCCACCAATGAGTTTTCTCTGTCTGCCTGCTCTTGAGACCAGGTAGCCAAACTTGATACGCCCCCTCTTGCTAGGAGATCCAGTCTTGACGAGGGCGAAAGTGGCTGATGCAAGGACGAGGTGTTGGCTCTCAATTCCCTAATAACGGCCTAACTGACCATAGGGTGGGTGTGGATTCTCCATCTCCGTACTGAGAAAAGGCGTTCAGGTAAGACAATGCCCCTTCTCCAGTACAGGAGATGGAGAATCCACCAATGGGACATACCAAAGCCTCAGCGGATACCTTCTGTCCCAGGGAAGCTGGACGGAAGGAAACCAAAAAGTCCCCAGATCTGTGAAAGGGTTCCGTGCGCTTAATGTAACACCGCAGAGCCCTGCAGACGTCCAACATGTGGCACTGCCGCTCCCTCATGGGAGGGATCAGACAAAAGTCAGGTAAGATGACTTCCTATGTTCTATGGAAAAGTGAATTGACCTTGGGCACGAAGGCGGGATCCAACCAAAGGACCACTCGGTCTCGGTGGAAGGTGCAAAGGTCATTCCTGACCGAGAGAGCAGCCAGTTCTGAGATACGCCTGGCTGATGCGATAGCGATCAAGAAGGTAACCTTAAGAGATAAAGCCCGCAATGGTATAGTAGCTATGGGCTCAAAGGGCAGTTTTGTTAGTGCGCAAAGCACACGAGGCAGTTCCCAAGAAGGGTACTTGCGTACCACAGGAGGGCTAGTGTTGTAAGCCCCCTTGATGAAAGCGCGTATCCTGGGATGATGGGCTAGAGGAACTGAGTCTGAACAAGTGAGCAATGTCGATAGGGCCGCTACCTGCCTACAAAAGTTTGCAGGGGCCAGGCCTCTGTCCAGACCGTCAAGAAGATAGTCTATGATCTGGGGAATAGTTAAATTGTACACATCCAGTTGCCACATTCTGCATCAATGGCAAAAATTGTTCCATGTGGAATCATAAATGTGATTGGTCACCGGTCCACGAGAGGCCTGAAACATGGTTATTGCCCATGGAGAGAATAACTCTTGTGTCATGATGTTGCGCTCAAACGCCATGTGGCTAACTGTAACCACTGAGGGTCCGGATGTTAGAGGACCCCCTGGAGTAAGGACATGCAATGTGGGGGAATCCTCCACGGAGGAGAGTGGGAGAGATTCATGAGATCAACAAGCCAGGATCTCTGCAGCCAGTATGGGGCCACAAGGATCACTTCCGCCTGCTCCTGAACCAGTTTGCGGATGGTTGCCAGAATGAGCGGAAGGAGAGGGAAAGCATAAAAAAGGCCCCATGGCCACGGAGTCCGCAAGGCACCCGTCCCCTCCATCCCCAGAAGATACTAATGGGAGAAATACCTGGGGAGTTGAGCATTGCTCGACAAAGCAAACAGGTTGATGACCGGATGGCCGAGCCTGCTAAATATTCCGGAAAAAAGATCCAGATGTAGTCCCCATTCCGAAGAGTCTATCATGGAGCGACCAAGAAAGTCTGCCTGCCGGTTCTTGACCCCTGAGATGTCAGGTTGGGCTCTGCCCAGGATCCTAGTAACCAGGCCTTGGACCTAAGGGACATGGACCTGGAGCCCTCCTGCCATTTCACGTGGGCCTTGGGTGCCACGTTGTCTGTGAGGATTAATATGTGACGTTCCGGATCCAGTGTTGGAGTTGACAGAGAGCCAAGTGAATGGCCCTGAATTCCAGCCAATTGATGTTGTGTCTCAAGTCTGCGCGGGACCAACATCCCTGCACAAACTGAGACTGAAGGTAGGCTCCCAACCAAAGAGGCTGGTGTCAGTCGTGATGGTGAGGTGGTCCGGCTCCTTGAAGGAGACCCCTTGGCTACTGCTTGTGAGAACCACCAGTGTACAGACCTAAGGGTACTGACCGGGAGCTCACCTGCCGGCTGGATGCGCTGACATTCAACCGCTGGAATGGAAGAAGGAACCAT